CGCGGGCATCCTCGTCTGCTCCCGCGGGCCGGGGCGGGGCCGTCGGAGTCCGGGACCCCGGGCCGAGCCGGGGAGAGTCGCTCCTCTTGGGGCGCGTTGCGGGAACCCGGCTGCGCTCCAGCTTCGAGAGCCGGGGTCTGGAGAGCCTGCGGCGCCCCCCGGCAGACCCTCTGGTCCGAGTGGAAGCGCTCCTGCCTGGAGCGGAGGGGCGCCGGCTAGGCGATGTGGAGGTCCTGGAATGCAGTGGGGGAGGGGCTAGCAAGGGAGGTTGATGAGGGTCCCTGCCCCCGGCGGAAAGGGGAGTAGGAGGCGGGGGTCTGACTCCCCTGGGAAGTTTAAGAAAGAATAAGGTGGATCGACGAAAAGGCAGAGCCAAAGACTTTATAGGGGCACGCGCTAGGGCGAAGAGAAGTGTAGATGATCCCACCGACCCTGAGTGTGCAGAGTCTAGGCTGGCCAGAAACTAACCAGAAATGAACCAAAGACAGTCCCTTTCTGATGAATTCCTTGGATGGTGTAAATGGTAAACACTTGGCCAAACCAAAAGGTTGGAGGTTTGAATCCACCCAGAGACGCCTCGAAAGAAAGACCTGGCGATCCACTTTCAAAATCCAGCCATTGAAACCCCTGTGGAGCACAGCTCTTCGCTGATACACACGGGGGCTCGATGAATTTGAATCCATTCACTGGTAGCTAGTTGAACTTCTCTTTTAAGGAATTCTTGGCTGTATCTAAATGTGGCTTCCACAGAGAAATGGGTAATACACACTGCTGGTAAATGTGCTGATTCGCTTTGGTAACCCTCTGCTTGGTGTTTTCGGTTGCCATGGAGTCAGTTCCAACTCATGGTGGCCGCGTGTACAACAGAGGGAAATTGTTGCTCAGTCATGTTCCATGTTTGCCAATGCTGGTATACAGTGTTACATTTTGAGTGCCTTCCTACTTAAGATATTGGATACTATTGTGTATTGTGATCCACAGGGTTCTCATTGGCTGATTTGTGGAGGTGAAAATCTATTTGTTAAAAAGATCCACCTGGATAGCCCTGCTGGTATTTCAAACATTGTTGGCATAAATTTCTGTAACACACAAGTCACCACAGTGTGACAAACTGGCAGGCAGAGAGTGGTCTATAGCTTTGCTTTTTAGTAATTCTTGTACATTTCCAAGAAGTGGTCAGACAATGCATTAAGGTCTTTAACCCTCAGCATGTTCCAAATCCATTGATCAAACTAAAAAGACTACCCCCAGAACTTCTCTGGATTCTTGTTTGTTTGCTTTTTAAACTAATGTGAAACTTTTACATTTATTAATTTTCTTGTTGTTGGGAATATGCACAGCAAAACATACATCGATTTAACAGTTTCTACAGCCAGGGTCATTTGAACTGCAAGGTCAGCAGTTCAAGCTCACCAGCTGTTCCTCAGAAACCCTATACAGGGTGGCTATGGGTTGGAACCGACTCGACGTTCACAACAACAACAACAGCCAGTTGAGTGGGCAGTCCTACCTTTAAGAAATATGATATTTCTGTCTCACTTAACCCTTTCCCCCTCCCTTCCACCACCCACTATTCAGTAATAAACTTTGTTCTCTATACATTTGACTTTTCTTGCCTTTTGTAGACGTGAGGTCATACAATATTTGTTTGTGTGTGTGTGTGTGTGATTGGCTTATTTCCATCTGCACACAGCCGCATTTAACTGGAGGGAAGGAGGCAGACAGTCCCAAACTAACTCCCAGGGAGGTCTGTCCTGCTGATTTCAGAACCCTGAGCTATGAGGCATGTAGGAGTTACATAATATGCTGACTATGGGAGCAGAATTCAGTGCATAGATCTGTTAGCAATAATTCACAGCAGGCTTGCAGCCAACAGTGTCTAGGTGAGGAAAGGGCTGGCAAACTCCAGGGAAGTCTGCGTTTATGCTGTCAGATAGTCCCATTCCAAAAATCCATAGCATGTTGGCGTGGGTATAGACTCCACCAGCTATAGATGCTTGTTTCCTAGCACACAGGAACCCCAATACACAGTCTATAGTATCAACTTTAAGGGGGAGCAGACATACCTGAACAGACTCTCCAAGAGGTCAGTCTTGTTGGTTTCAGAGGCCTGAGCTATGCAGTGCACAGGGAGGCAGGTGGAGTGTTGACTATAAGGCCACATTCAAACATAGGGGCCCTTTTGTAGGAATTCACAGCAGGGACGTCTGCCTTGTTGATTTTAGGGCAGACACTTGGGATGCTGTCTCTTTGTAGAGGCAGAGACCCTGGGTGGTTAAGAACCAGCCACTTGGCTGAGGAGAGGGCAGGATTGGGGTCTCAGAAGCTATTTTCCTACTGTACTCAACGGCTCCGTGTTTTTTGTTTTTAAGCTTTTATTGTGAATTGAGTGATAGGTTACATGGGAGAACATCAGCTTTACATTCATCCTATGGTAGTATTTCGTTTCATTGCAATGATTACAATCCCCTCCGTGCATCATCATTCAACAGTATTTGCTTCCATTCCCTCTGGGGTTTTTTGTTTTTTGTTTTTTTGGATGTACACTGAAGCACTTAAGAATATATAACCATTCAAACAACCAAAGGGTGCACCCAGCAAGCCTGCTCCTACCCCCCAGCCACCAGCACACAGCCCCTCTTGCTCCTTGAGTCCAGAGTCCCCAGCCACTCCATCTCTCCACATCATTGTCTCTGCCTCCATCTCTGGTGTCACTGCTTCTCTGGATAGGGTCCCACACTCTGCTCTTCTCCCATGATGGTGCCAGGATCCTCGGCTCCTGGACTGTAAGATCAACCACTCCCCTCCTTTTGTTACAAAACGTCTACCTTTACGTTTGCAACACTCACAGTCAGTCCTGATAGCAATTATTCACTATTGAAGCACAAGAGTCTTATCCCCATCTCCTCTCACCAGCCTCTCGATGGCTCAGTTTTGATTAGTCGAATCTCTCATATGTACTTTCTCTGCACCCTAATTCAGACTTCATCAAAGCCAAGCATCGTGTCCTTATATTTGTGAGGGAGAGTTGAAACAACAGTTTGTTTACATTACCATCTTTGCAGAATCCCCTGATCCTTGCTAAAGAGAGCAGAATCTACCTAACCTTCCAGACTAGAAATTTCAGTCACCCTGCCTCTCCTGAGAACATCATAAGCAATTGATCCCTATGTCTGCAGAAGCACTTTATCTTTCTCCCACGTAGCCCCTAGTGCGGTTGAATCCAGCGTTTAACCCAATTCACCTCCAGACCCTCTGAAGTCACCTTTAAACTAACGAGAAGTGTAGCTCAAAGAATACTGCATTCTTTAAAACACAGAAAGAAATTGTCTGTGGAATCCTGCTGTGGGGCTGTAGGATAAGCCCTGGACTGCTAGTCACAAGGTCGGTGATTCAAATCCATCAGTCGATCCTTGGAAACCTTATACAGCATCAGGATGGACTCCAAGCCACTTAAAACAAGTAAGACCAAAAGAGTCCTGTAGGTTAAGCCGTAAGCCGTAGACTTAACCTACAGGACTTATGTATAAGGACATATATAAGGAGCTCTGGTAGTGTAGTGGTTACAAATCAGGCTGCTAACCTCAGGGTTGGCAGTTCAAAACTACCAGCCGTTCCTCAGGAGAAAGATGAGGCTTTCTGCTCCCGTAGAGATTTATAGCCTCAGAAACCCTGTGCTGTGTGTCGGAACCCACTCCACAGCACACAACAACAACAACATATATATATATTCTCATACTTTATATATATATATTCTCATACTTTGGACAATATATTCTCATACTTTGGACAATATATTCTCATATATTGTCCGGAGAGAACAGTCTCTGGAGAAGGATGTCATGCTGGGTAGGGTGGAGGGTCAGAGAAAAAGAGGAAGACCCCCAATGAGATGGATCATTGATGGCGTCAAGTGTGGCAGCGGTAGTGAGGTTGGCCCAGGATCGGACATTGTTTCGTTCTACTGTGCATGGGGTCGCTATGAGTCGGTTCTGACTCGATGGCACCTGACAACAACAACAAGTATATATATTTATATATATATATATTAATGCGCCAGACTGCAAAGCCGTTTGAACGTAAGGTTGGCGATTCAAGCTCACCAGCTGCTCGTTGGAAACCCTATGCAGGGTCACTATGGGTCGGAACTCACTCGCTGGCACTATATATATATATATATATATAGTGGCTTGAGTCCACCCCAAGGTACCTTGGAAGAAAGGTCTGACAGACAATCAGCTTTGGAGAAATATCAGTCCTTGGAAACTGTACAGAGCTCAGTTCTGCTCTGACATACATGGGCTCTCTGTGAGTTGAAATCCACTAGATAGAAAGTGGTCTAGAAGCCCTCACACAGTTCTTAGACCATTGGAGATTTTGAATGCATGTTGGTTCCATTTAATTCACCCGCTTACTGACAATGGCAGTCTGTGGAGGGTGAGGAGGGTGAGAGTGCGGCAGCTGCGCCCTACCTCAGCGCCTGCAGCAAAGGGGAGCACATTGAACTGGGTGACAAATGAGACTTTGCAACCATCTAGCACCACACACTGTGACAGCCAGAAGGCAGACAGCTGCCAAGTGTATCAAGCAGTGTTATCAACTGTTGATCCCATCCCCTCTGTGTTGCATGTCTGCCTTCGTGTACCAGCATTTTCATTGTGAGTGCTTCATCATCAACATTGGCTGGTTGTGCTGTTTGATCCACAAAAGGCATCTGAAAACATGGAAGCTTACTTCACTTACCTATCCATCATCCATGCATCCACCCACCCATCCATCCATGCATCCAACCAACCATCCATCCAATCATCTACACACCCATTCACCCATCCATCCATCCATCCACTAATCCATTCATCATCCACCTATCCATCATCTATCTGTCTGTCTGTCTGTCTGTCTGTCTGTCTGTCTATCTATCTATCTATCTATCTATCTATCTATCTATCTATCTATCTCTGGTATCATAGTGATTATGAGTCAGGATGCTAACTTCAAGGTCAGCAATTTGAAACTACCAGTCGTTCCTCAGGAGAAAGATGAGGCTTTCTGTTTCCATAAAGATTTACAGCCTCGGAAACCTATGAGTCGGAACCAACTCCATGGTATACCATCTATCTATCTATCTATGTATCTATCTATGTATCTATCTATGTATCTATGTATCTATCTATCTATCTATCTATCTATCTATCTCATCTATCTGTCTGTCTATCTATCTATCTATCTATCTATCATCTATCTCATCTATCTATTTATCTATCTATCTTCTATCTTTCTATCATCTATCTCATCTACTTATCTATCTTGTATCTATATCATCTATCTGTCTATCTGTCTATCTATCTTCTATCTATCGATCTATCTACCTTCTAACTTCTATCTATCAATGTATCTTCTATCTATCTATCTATCTATCTATCTATCTATCTATCTATCTATCTATCTCCTTACCTATTTGTTTGTTTGTTTTATGAGACCAACGATGCTCTGTATGCTTGCAGTCACCCCCATCTGCCACAATGCCCTGGAGTGCCGGAAGCCAGCCCCGGCAAATTTATTTCAAGGGTTTTTTCCGAAGGTTGATGCGGCCGTCGGCGATAAGAATTACATGGAGTCATGGGTCGTGATGAATTCAAAATCTTCTTATTACATGCTTTATTCTTCTCATTTCTATGCTACTCTACTACTCTGCTTCTCTCATTCTTTACTGCCCTGCTCATTTTTTACCTCCTGCTCATTCTTTTGTCTCCTGCTCTCCTGCTCATCTCTTCTGCTTCTTTACTAGCTTCCCCTGCTTCCATTTCTTTAATCCCCCTCTCCTCCTTCATTCTCCTCCTGCTTTTCCTCTCTATTCTTCTTCCTACATGCTTTATTCTTCCTCTTATTCCTTCTTCTTCATATTCCTTCTCCTTCTCCTCTTCCCACCTCTACTTACTTTCTATCTTTACATGCTTTATATCCTACTTCTTATTTCCCCACCCTTCTTCTCTTCTTCCTTCTTCTACTTCTTTCTGCTTACCTCTACTTACTCTTACCTCTACTTCCTTATTCTATCTTACAACCCCCTTATATACCATTACAAAAACCATTGCTTTCATAGTAATCAATGACATCAAAATACAATCAAGTCTGGGGCACATTCTTCATGATTTACAACAGGGATGAAAAGTTACAGCAAAGAGACATAATTATCTCAAGGCATAGGAGACATTCAGGCACCTTGAAACCTTTTAGTTAAACATTTGTTCCTACATAAATCTATTCTTTTCTCTGAGAAGCAAGTTAACCTTCACATATGTTTCTTAACCTTTGTCTGTTAAGTCTTGTTAATTTTAGTTGTTAGGTGCAATTAATGCTCCATTAACTTCTTCCATACATTATCTGTTTATAGCCTACAAAAACATCACTTATCAGGGAAACTGAGGCTATGAAAAACAACTTCTCTATTTTAGTGATCATTAATTTAAGAACGTCTAAGTCAGACTTTTTATTTAGTATCTGTATATACCCATAGCCTTTATCTGTAGTCTAATTGTTTTTAGGAATTCTTGTACTCACAGTCCTTATTTATGGCCTGGTTGCTTTTGAGGATCCTTTATTGCCTTAAACTAAGGCTACAAGGAAGAATGTTTACAATCACTAAACCTAAGCTGGTAGTAATTCAATTGACAAATCCTGTCTCCTAATAGTCTTAAGAACATTGTTAATATAAGTATTAAAACTACCTATGATTACAAGTAGAATAAAATGTAGCTAATGTGTGGATTCTAACTTTTAATAAAAATATACTAAAGTGTAGAAGAGTCAAAAATCTAAAGTAAAAGGGATACTAATAAAATCATGAATAAATCAGAGAATGATTCAGCAAGAGAAAATTTTAACTAGGGGTCTGTGCATAGAATATTTCTTGTGGCTTTGCCATCCAAAAAAATAATTCATTGTAGCTCTGCTAAAACAATGAATTCTTCTATGCCCAGGTTTCCCCATGTCTCATTTATTTATTTTAATTCCTCGATTAATATATCTCAATTTATTTATTTTATTCCTTAATTAATTATGGCTCTTGCCACCGGAGCAGGCGGGAGCTGGCTACTTTGTAAAGGAGGGAGATGGAGAAAACTGAGAATGGTCTGCTCGTTAAACCCAACCACTGAGGTACACTTTCCCAGAAGGCAGCGCTAGTCTGTGTGCCCAGCACTCTCGGTGGAGCCTGGAGACCTTTGACCAGGCTGCCATTTATGAACATGAGGGAAGGACCAAAGTTAGAACCTGAGCAGATGCTGCAGACCCTGGCTGGGAGGTGGGGGGCATGTGGGAGACACATCACTCTATATCATCTGTACTAACTATCCTTGGGCCATCTCGTAGACCCCAGTTCACAGAGACCCACTCCATGGGCGTCAGACAATCTTCTGGAAACAGGTCACCAGACTTTACTTCAAAGACAGCTTTGGGTGGGCTGGAACGACCAACCTTTCAGTAAGCAGTTGAACACTTAACCGTTAGCACCACCACCCCAGGGTGGGGGGGTTTCTTACAAACCACTTGTCACTGACTTCACTCCGACTCATGACAACCCCGTGTGTGCTGACAAGAACTGCACTCCGTGGGGTTCTCAGCGGCTGACTTTTGTGCAAACAGATCACCAGGACTGTCTTCTGAGGTACCTCTGGGTAGAACTCCAACACTGAATTAGGAAAGATGTTTGCCAAGGTTGTATTCTTTCACCATACTTATTCAATCTGTATGCTGAGCAAATAATTCAAGGATCTGTACTGTATGAAGAAAAATGTGGCATCAGAATTGAAGAAAGAGTTATTAACAACCTGCAATATGCTAATGATACAACCCTGTTGCTGAAAGCAAAGAGCATTTAAAATATTTACTGATGAAGACCAAAGACCACAGCCTTCGGTATCGGTTGCATTTCAATGTCAAGAAAACAAAAATCCTCACTACTGGGCCAATAAACAACATCCATATAAATGAAGAAATGATTGACGTTATCAAAGACTTCATTCTTCTTGGATCAACAATCAATACTCATGGAAGCAACAGTCCAGAAATCAAATGATTTATTGCATTAAGCAAATCTGTTACGCAAGACTCCTTTAAAGAGTTGAAGAACAAAGATGTCAGTTTGAGGACTAAGGTGCGCCTACCCAAGCTATGGTATTTTCAATAACCTCATATGCATGCAAAAATTGGACAGTGAATTAGGAAGACTGCAGAAGAATTGATGTTTTTGAGTTATGGTGTTGGAGGTGAATATTAAAAGCACCATGGGCTGCCAAAAGAACAAACAAATCAGTGTTGGAAGAAGTGTAGCCAGTGTTCCCTGGAAGCCGGGATGGCCAGACTTCATCTTTCATACTTTGGACATATTATTAGGAAGGACCAGTCAATGGCAAAAGATATCATGTTTTTTAAAGTGGAGGGGTAGAAAAAAGAGGAAGACCCCCAACAAGATGGATTGGCACCGTGGCAGCATCAATGGGCTCAAACATAGCATCGATTGTGAGGTTGGCTCAGCACCAGGCAGTGTTTCATTCTGTTGTCTATAGGGCCACTGTGAATTGGTACCAACTCAGTGGCAACTAACAAGATTTCACAAGTTTGCCCCTTGTTCTTATATGAGGTTATTGAAAATACCATGGCTTGGGTCAGACACACCTTAGTCCTCAAACTGACACCTTTGGTATTGAACACTTTAAAGAGTCTTGTGCAGCAGATTTGCCTAATGCAATCGATGTTTGATTTCTTGACTGCTGCTTCCATGAGTATTGATGGTTAATCCAAGAAGAATGGATTGTTTGACTCCTTCAGTCTTACCTCTTGTATGTTTCACTACATTCTTGGGAGGCTGCCTTTAATACCGGAGTGAGCCAGCACTTCTACGTGAGAATTTAATCTGCTGAGCGATGCTGCGGACCCCTGTGGCTGTAACCTGAAGGTCTTTGCTTCATTGGATTTTTAAAGTGCCTTCGGAGGCTCACATCTGCACACCTCACATTTCCACAGTCTTTATGAGCAGGGAGATGTTGAGTCCTGGCTGGGAGACAGAGGGGGACAGTCTAACCAGGAAAGCAGCGCTCTGCACTCCTGGGCTGACAACGCTGGGAAATCCCAGGGGTCTGCTCGCAGCTTGTGGGGGAAGGATCTTTATTTGAGCAGAAGCAACCCGTTCAGGAATGTTCCACGTGGCACCCACCCCAGCCAAGCCCAGGGTAAAGCCTTGTTAAGATCATTCTGCTGGCAATCCTGCCGGAAGCGAGGGCTGTCGTTTTGCTGGATTTTTTATTTTTTATTTTTGTACAGGCAGGAGGAACTTTCAGCTCTGTTGCGTTTGCTAAAATGCTTCCAGATTTTCTCAATACATGTTTTAAATAGACCAGCGTCAGTTTTAAGAGAAAGAAAGGAAATAGACAAAGATGCTCTCCAGATCTCCTGAACACAATCTAATTGTATCTGAAAAATAGATTGGAGGAAATTCCTTCTACAAAGGAAGTTGGGGAGGGATGTAGACGGAGGCAAAGAGCAGGTCACACAGCAGACAAGGGTCAGTCATAAAGTCTTGCTTCTAGGGTTCCAGTTCATAAATGCACTGGATAACTCCACACAAACCATGTTTAAACATGTGTCTGCCAGCAGTGGATGGCTGCAGGCAGGTTCGTTTAGGAATACACAGTCTTCATGTCATTATTGTTGTGAAGTACCGTTGAGTTGATTACAACCCATAGCGTCCCTA